TTTGTGTGTGGGTGTGTTATCTCATTGTGGTTTTGTCTTTCCTTAATGACTAATGGTGTTGCACATCTTTTTTTGTGTATTTTCTTTAATAATCTTTCCTATGCTTACTTCAGCAGCATGTATACTAAAATCATAGTCTTTCCTATGCCTTCTTTTGTGAAATGTCTGTTCAAATCTTCTGACCACCTTAAGTTGAATTTCATCTTATTATTGAATTGTAAGAATCTTTTATATATCCAGGACACATGTCTTTTATCAGATGACTTACAAATATTTTCTCCCAGTCTGTAACTTACCTTTTCATTTTATTTTTTGTCACAGAAAATAATTTTATTAACTATTAGGAAGCCCACAGGAGACAGTAAATGCTAGGAAGAAAGGAGTTGGAAGCCTTGGGGGTATTCCTGAGAGCTTAGGCATGAGGCTCCCTGTGTTCGCCCTGCATACGTCTATCAGTGTGAGGAAGGCTGTATCCTCCTTGTTTGTGCTGGTGGTTGCTGGCCATGGCTGAGGCCAGGAGTCCATCTGGTAGACTGGGCCTCTACTAAGCTATGCTGTAGTAGACTTTTTCCAAAATCCATTGTTTCAAGGCAACAGCATGGCTCAGCCAGCAATGTATTTTTGGGTCTTGTTACCACGGTCCAAGTGATGCATTTGGGTCTACGGCACCCTTGGTGTTGGTTGGATTCTTCCATAGACTGAGGTCTTCTGAGGGCTTGCTACTTGGCTTCGACCTTTGCTGCAGTGATGATGGGAGGATCCCTGTAGAGCCACCTGGATTCTGGCTTCTCTGCTCTGGCTTTTCCTAAGGTGGTGATGGAAGTGGCCCCATAGGCCTGGTAGCCACTAACCAGACAGTGGGTCTCCCCATGCCAGCCCACCTGGATTCTCCACATCCTTGGTGGAGGACATGGTAGTAAACCAGTGTGGGCACAGTTGCTAGCAAAAAACCAGAACTGATCAGCCACTTGTACTGCCAGGACCTTCCATTCTCATGTGGCTTCCTGGCTTCATTTCCTCAGTGGTATCCCTGGAGGAGCAAATGTAAATTTTGCTGAAGTCCATCCTATCAGTTTTTTCTTTTTATGGATTGTGTCTTTGGTGTCATAGCTAAGGAAATCATTCCTGAGTTATGACTCAATGTCAAAGAATTTCTCTAACTTAACTCCTTTATTAAAAGCTCTTATTAAAATATACCATGTGCCAAGCACTGTACAAGGGGTTGGTGGTTAAAAAAAAAAAAGCATAAAACACTCTCTGTATCCTCAGGATGTTCTAGTAGCTGCCGGAAGCACACACAGGGAGGCATTTCATTGCTTTTACAGAAGTGCTTCTAGCTGGGGTAAATAGGAGGAGGGTTAGTTCTTCCAGAGGCTGCAGAATAAGCAACAGTCAATTCAGGGATGGTCTGATAAGGGTTCTCATGACCAAAATCCTCCTCAGAGGATTCTAGGACGGCATGGCCAAGGGAGTTTGGAGAGTATTCTGTTGCTTGGGAAGAAAGTAGGCAGAATTCCCCTAGTGGTTTTTACTAGCAGAGCTTTTGCTCTTTAGTCAAGTGGGGACTGAGGGCCTTAATTATAAAAAAAAATAAGAATGAATCTGCAAGTGCTGACAGTGTATTGACAAGTGTAGGTGTTGACCCAAGAATGTCTGTTTTGAATGTCCATATTATGGACAATTTGGGTGGAAGATTTGCTCATCTGTCTCATGGTTTTTGGAATATCAAGGATAGCATTGGTAGCTTTCTATGTATGTACAGTGGTCAAGATTGGTCTTTCTGGAGGCAGAGGGAGAGAGGGAGAGAGAGAAAGAGGGAGAGATGCTGCAATTCTCATTCCTACCCTAAGGCTGGTGACCAGGAGGTGTCTGTTCCAGTGGCCACATTAAGGTTTGGTTCATAAGTGGCTGTTCCTTGGCAAAGAGGCATTTCATCATGGTGTTTACTTTCGTTGCTATCCATAAAAAAAGAACAAACAAACTTCTTGTAGAGCAGTATTGGCCCCAGGGACTATTCCAAGGAGGAATTGGCAAGGGGGTAAAGAGAAAGGCTCAGATACATCAGGGTGGGAATCTCAGGGCTTGAAAAGACGTCATTGGGCTCTTGCCATTCAAAATTGTGGTCCAAGGACTACACCATTGGCATCAAGCCACATACCCAGAGAGTGGGGTAGGAGAGCAGATCTTCTGCTCATGTTTCTTAAGATGTTATTAGGGAAGAAGAACCTACTTTTCTCTGAGATGCCCAAATGATGCACAAGCACTTTCAGCTCTGTGAAGCAATGGTCTAGTCCAGTGGTTCTGGAGTCCTCCACGAATATCCTGGCTAATTGGTCATCTGGGCTCTGTTTAATAGTTCAAGGGACAGATAGCCAAGGTCATTCAGCAGATGCGAATGATCCTTTTATTTTTCTTTTTAGATCAGGCTGGTTAAGCAGATAACTGGGCATAAGCGGATAAATTGCTATGTTCCAATTTGCAAGGGCAGGTCAGCTGTTTGAGGTGCCCTTTAAAACAGCTCATCTTTATAGCAAACTAACTGCTTAAAATGTTTATAGGAAACAAGATGATGACTTTGGTCATGATTCTGTGTTCACTTAGCCGCATTCTATAGTATATCTCCCGTCAGGAAGATGCAGCACTATTGTTTATGAGTATGGTTAATGCAAATGGTCATCCACTATTGTGAGTACTTACTGTTTAAAATGTCACCTGCTCTTTTTCATACAAGATGAACAAATTGATGTTAGCAGTGGCTTTCAAACTTCAGCATGGTCACAATCACTGGGAAACTTATCTAAACAGATTGCCAGGCCCCACCCCTAGTTTCTGCTTTAGGTTATGCCAGCGGACAATTAGCATTTTTAGCAATTCTCATGTTATTCTAATGGTGTATCATTAGAAATGGTAGCTTCAAATGTATTGTTAGCACTACTGAACTATTGATACTGTGTGCTGATAATAGAAGGCCAAATTTTAGCAATCCATGGTCAAGAGATAGGAGTACCTAGGAGAATTTAAATGCACAAAGAATCTAAGACCCTCCCAACCTCCTTCTTTCAGTATGGGGGGGCAGGTGGAACCCAGGGCCTTGCATATGCTAGGCAAGCACGCTACCACTGAGCTAGGGCCCTGGCTCCACAAAACACTGATTTCAAATCTACATGGGAATTGCTAAAAGGCAATGTGATTTGATTAAAAAAAAAAAAAAAAAAGCAATGTGATTTGCTTTCATTTTCCATTTTTCCAGTACTTGATTCTACCTACCTCTGATGGGAAATAGTTCTGACTACATAATGTTTGACGGTGAAGCCCTACATGCCCACTGGTTGGTAGTTGGTTCCATTGGCCAGTGTGGCTGAGACACTATAGGCTGGCTCTGAACTGTGTGATGATCTTCCAGCCATGTATAGTCTTGGGTTTGGTCCTGGCCATAGCCTTAGTTATGTCCTTGCTTCCTTGTAGGCTGACTCTGCAAAGGAGAATTGAATTGTGTGAGGACCTAAGGTTCTAGCATCACTTCAGTCCCTTAGGGAACTAATTCATCTTCACTATAATGCAGACCCCTAGGCTCTGATTTGGATTCCTTTTAGCAAAAATTTCCACCTGTGGCTGCTGCTCAGATTTGAGTGATCTACTCTGAACTTCCTAGTGACGCTTATCTGAAGACTGGCTGCAGGCCGCTCAGTAATGACACTTCTTGCCAGTGGAGACCCATGGCCACGCTTTAGACTGTAATTGAGTGGAGGAGACAGGACTTACCTCTTGGGGCACCTTGCTGTTCCGACTGTATTTCACATCATTCAAAACAGAGACATGGGATTTTTTTTTTTTTATAAAAAATTTATTGAGATGATGTAATTATAGGCTTTTCTTTAAAAATTATTTGCAACTCACTGGCCCTGAGAAAAGGCTTTTTTTTTTTTTTTCCTTTTTTTTGTTACATTCATTTGATTCAGTCCCTTATAAACCCCACACCTCATAAACAAGAAATTAGAAACTAAACCAAAAAAAAAAAAAAAAACAACAAAACAAAAAAACCCAAAACTAGATTCGTTCTGGTTTGCAGGTGTGTTCAGTCACAAAGAGAAATCTTCAAGAATGTTCCCTTGGCATGTGTGAAAGATTCAGGGAGGTTGCAGTTGCTTAGTGTTGACGCAGATGGGGCAAAAAGAGCATCAGGTTAGTCTTCCGCGGTCTGCAGACAGGCAGGGATTTCTGGGTGTCCCTTCCCTTCCCCATGCCATTGGCTTCCATCACTCTTTATTTCATGTTTCTGCTTGGGGAGGAGCAGGCTGAGCGAATGAACAGCTCCTAATTAGCACCGAATGCTTAGGCAAAGAAAACTGCCCTTTGTTGTCTTTCCCAATCTTTTTATCTTCAAGTTTCCTAGGAGAGAATGGGTTAAATGGGGGCCACGGCTGGGCTGGACCCCAATCCTAACCCCACCATGTTATCTGCTCCTAGGACAAGTGGTGTTACCTCTCTGACACTCAGGGTTTCCTTCTGCAAAAGGCAGTTAATATTTTTAAAATGTCATCATGATTGGATCCTAGGTGCTGAAGGTAGATCTGGTGGTTACTTAGTCATTTTGGTAGATTCTGTTACAGTTTTTCAAATGTCAGTTAAAGTGACATTCTCATTTGGACAAGACACTGGAGCAGAGAATTTGTAACACTGTGAAGGAGAAAAATCCATCTGTCTGTTACTTCTGTTTTCTAAGAACTTTGAGCATTAGTCATTCTGGCTTATGCAAGACTAAACTGCCCTGGATCAAGATCTAGGTAAGTGACAGTGTTACCTTCAGCTCAGCCCTCTAGTCAGCTACCAGGGCTTTCTTCTGATGGAGAGGAGACAGCCCGGCTAACTCACGACACAGACCAAGACCCAAGTGATGGTGCCCATCTTTCAGCTAGCAGTGCTTGTCTGCATTTTCCTTTTCTACCTTCAGATTTTATGAGCTAAGAATCCCCACGGTAGTAAGAGAGCAAAGCCAACTATTCAGATGATACATAAGATTTTAATTTGGTCCCGGGTGAAATTTTCATCACCTCTAGCATTTAGAGTTGGACTGAGAAATACCATGATGGGTGGATCCTGCAGGTAAAATATAAACTTCCAGAGGGCAGGGATTATGCCTGGTTTATTTTTGAAACTCTCACAGTGTCTAATAGGTGCTTCCTCCAGGTCTGACCAACTAAATCTGAAACATTTATGTCTGTAAATATCTGTACCCCAGCACTGGTGCTGAGGGGAGTCATTCTTTCAAAGAGACAATGGAGGAGGATGTTTGCAGTTAAGGGAATCAACTGAAAATCAGAATAGGTAATAACTGAATGGGAAATAAAGATTACACTGGAATTAATATCAACTTGAAGTGGCTGAACGTGTTATCCTAAGTCTTACATATTCTCACTGGACATTCATGAAAATGTAGAGATAGATCCTTGGGCCAAACAGTTTCCCTCCATACTTCATGTGTAAGATTCTTTGAACAATAATAGACTGAGTTCTTCTATTTGGGTAAATTGGCCAGAATGCAATGTCCCAATCTCAGAGAAGAGTAACATCATGCCCTGGTCTCTGACTTTATATTCATACAAAGGGTCTTAGTTTAAAAAAAAAAAAATCCACCCTTTCTCTCCATCTCTTAAACTCAGTGACTTCACAAAACACCAGTTTTTTGGCTGAATCTCTCTATTTGAGGTGCAGTACCAGTCGTCTTAGAGGTTGAGAAATGTTATCATCTGAACACTCTTGAAAGACATCTGCAGCATGCTGGGATCCAGCCGAATTGCATCACCATTCAGTCAGACGAGACCAGAGCCTTCACAAGGAGGGCCTTGAGCCACACAGAAGGTCCCTGACTTTCCAGAGGGCAGAAGGGGGAAGAATGTGACAGAAAGACTGGGCTGTCCACCCATGTGTCCGCCTGTGGTCTGGTAAGAGACCACGACAGAACAAGACTGAAGAGCCCCAGCCAGCTCAACTCCAGTGTCTTTGAACCGAAGTCCATCTACGTGCCCCACAGGCTGGTGCTCTCGTCAGGAAGGCCCAGGAAGGGTTCCTCTTGCCTGTGTGTCCCCAGCCTCTGTGTGCCTGACTCAACTCAGAAATGGTGGGATCACAAGCCTGGAGATCTGCTCACCTGCCATGTGCCAGTGGCAGAGTACGTGTGTGCCCCAGAGGGCTGGAGATGCTCGCCTAACCAGGGAGGGGAAACAAAGGAACAGGAAGGAGGTGGTTTTTAAGGCAGGCCTAACGTTGTGGATTAAAAAAGTCTGTACTCCAAATATTGGATGCCTAAACCTGTCTGTATGGGAAGAATCAATATAGATGGCTAGGAAAAGAAAGAGAATCTAAAAGAGTTCTCTAAAAATACCTGTTATCATTAAAAGTACTGAAGGGTGGCACCGCCCTCCTTTTACAAGACACTACCAACCTTATTTTGAGGTGGAAAAGAGCCACAAATGACTCCTTTCTGAAATACAGCAATGAAGGAAGGAAAATATAATGGATCTGAGGAATTTCCTGTTTGCCCAAGCTGGGCAAACACTGCTTGCATCTGGGACTGCATGCTGGGATCCTCCCTTCACAAATGTTCAGTGGAGACCAGGGAATTTTTAAAAAGACTCAGAATTGGAAAAAAGAAATTCATTGAGGGCATGTAACTGACCACAAGATGGCCCTTGGAATGGAGCAAGAGGAGCTTTTCTTTCTCGATATCCTCAATAACTTGTTTCAGAAAAATAACTCCCTCACTGCAGAATATTTTTGCTCAGTCTCTAGACCACCAGGTCTGTGTGGTCTTTTTGTATTTTCCACTTTGCAGCACTTGCAAGCTAATCCCAAGCTCTTGGGGCCTTCCAAATAACTTGGACGGCCTCCGTCTTATCTTACGCCTTAGCTGCGTGGTTTTCACAGCCGTCTCAGAGATGGCGCGCTAGAACGGCACTTATCTTTTTTCAGAGTACAGCAGCATCTGCGAGGTTTCTGGCCTCCCTCAGATGGGTGGCTAAGTGCCAGAATGGGGGCTGAATTCTGTGCTGCTGGCCACAAAGCACCCAGGTCACTGATTCTGTTTAGGTGTCAACAATCCCCAAGGCTCTTGGGAAGTTCTCAAGAGTCCCCAAGAGTCTGCAGAAAGGCATGGGAAGTGTAACAGCAGGCAGAAAGGCAGGACGCAGGGAGCCAGGGAAGAAAGGAGAGTGAGAGAGAAAAAGAGAGTTCTCCTGAACGTGATCATTTTTAAAAGCATCTTTTTTTTTTTTTCTTTTTTCAGCCAAGACCCAACTGCAACAGGAACAAACCTGACCCACATGGCAGGAAAAAGAGGAACCTGATCCTTTCTGCAAGTATTCACTTTCCTGACAAGCTGGGCTGGCCATACTTTGTGAGATTTGCAAAAATAGATATATAATAGATATATATTTCCACGGGAAAACAACATCCGATGTCTTCCCCTGTATGAATGATGAAAAGTCAAACTGCATGTTCCTAAAAAAAAAAAAAAGAAACAAAAACACCATGGGACTAACAACAGATTAGGAAGGGCGGGGTAAGGAATTACAGATGGACTCCGAAGGTGAAGGAAATGTGACATTCAAGTCCAGGCTTGTGCCGTCTGCTGGAATTCCAGCCCCGCCATTGCTGGGTGCTCTGTCTAAGGTGCTCTGGGGTCCCTCTTGGTTTGCAAGAGAAGTGTTCCTGCTGTTCTGGGGATCTTTTTGCAGCTGCCCTCAGCCCACCTGCTCCATCACGCCTCCAGCAGTCCTGGTGGGCAGGTTCTGTCGCTGCTGGCCTGCTGCAGAGGCGGCCTGTGGGTTCCCTCAGCATTCGTCTTCTTGGTATATTTGTTCATCCAGCTCCTGGGACTCAAGGTGCTCCAGACGGTCTGTTCGGCCACTCATGATTTCATCTGGGGTTTTCATAAACCTTGGGAAGAAGAAATGGAGTCAAAAGATTATATTTTAAGTAAAGGTGCCTTCACTCTGAATTCTAACCTACAAAGCAAGACCCCCATCATATACTGTATAGCTGGAAAGCTACTAAACCAAATATTTATGCTAACTTAGTGTCAACTGGCAAAAGGTAGCCCTTCCTCTGACTGCCTCAGAAGTGGCAAAATGACCACAAAAAAGTCTGGGGTAACTCTGGGGTAGAGAGCACCCTTCGCAGTTATGGGGAACATGACTGCAGGTGTGTATGAGGAAACCAGGGTGCAGCTCACTTATCTCTTTCTTATTTTTAGAGAGTTCAATTTTATAAACACCTCTGAGAGTTGAACATCCATTTCCATTCTAGACCAGCAGCCCAGGGAATGGTATTCCAAACTTGACTTTAACTCAGAGAATACAATTAAATGTTACAGGGAAAATCTGGACAATCGGGCAAGTTAGTGCAGCTGTTAGAAAATCAGAAAGGCACAAGGAAAGAGAATCCTTGCGAGTTTTAACCCTGAGCCACCCAAAATGCTGGCAGTGTATCCCCTTCAGCCTGGCTTCTACCCTTTGCAGCTGTATTGCACAGCAAGCCTCATCGTGAGTGGGTTCCTCTGGACAGTGACCATGTTTTGACCATGATTGACATGGCTCAGGAAGGCAGCCTGATTGCAAATGGCGTATCCGGACTGTGGGATTACTTCTTTCACAATTACCTGCATGTCTGCACAGCTTCCCTTTCCATGTACTCTGCTTTGCAGCAGTGATCTAATTTGAAATATGCATTTTCTCTCCTATTCAGCAGCCTATGACAGTGGTGGCAAGCCTATGGCATGTGTGCTGCAGTGGGCTGTCTGTGTCTTTGAAAGCTCTAACCATCTAACCATCACTGGCCTATAATCTTTGGCCTGCCCACTGGGGCATTCTGTCAGGCTTGCCATAAACATTTATTGAAACCCTCTCTAAGGTATACAACAGTTATATAATATATAATCCTCTATCTTCTAGGAGCTTACGATCTACTTGTGGGGAGAAGGACTTCATATATATGACTACTAACAGTGCAAATCATGGTGTGGTGAAGGGCAAAGGGAATTCAAGACATGACAGAAGAAGGTATCCGTGTGTGTGAGTGCGCGGAAGGCCTCACAAAGGGTAGTAGAAATGAAGTTGTCTGTAAAGGTTGAGTCCATCTATCAAAGGTAAAGGTACACCTGGAAAAGGGAATTATATTAGTGTTACAGGGATACCAGAAATGTGTACTATAATATGGGAAGGCAAGGAAGGCACTATTGTAAAAGATTTTGAATTAATCCTGGTGTGGCTTACTAAAGTGCAGAAATCAGCTTCCACTGCCAAGGAAGCAATAACAATGATTTTGCCTTTTCTCTGTCTTCCAGATCTCCTGAAACTGCTTATTGTTCATAGACTCCAGTGTGGGACCTTCTGGCAACAAATCCTGGGAAATGCAGCCGCCAGGCTTCTAGCCTCTGCAATACAGAATGAAATGGGAATGGTGCTGACCAGGCAGTGGACAATCCAGCATAATGCCCGACTGGGATGTAGGAGGAGCCAAAAGTAACTCTAGTTTCAAGATTGCCTAGAACAATGATGATGCCGCTGATGAATAACAAGAATTCTGGGTAGAGTTTTTAGTAGGTGAAGAAGGGTCTGTCTTGAAGGTTTCATGTTTGAAATACGAATGTGATATTTAAGTGGCTACTTCCTACAAGAAACTCTTGGAAATTTAAATTTGGAATTTCAGAGAGAATTTTAGAGCTGGACATCAGGATATAATCACAGGGGTGACAAATGAAAGCTGTGTAATAGGATCAACTCATCCATGAAAAAAGTAAAGCAGAAAAAAACTGGGAACCAAGAACTAAGTGTAGAGTGAAGGGTGGAGAGAAAGTATCTATAGAGTCAGAGGTGAGAGTGTTCTTTTTGTATTTATTCCATCCTGTTTTGATTTCTTATATAGCCTTTTCTGTTTCTTTTGAAGACTGGAGTTCTCTCTTCTATTCCTAAGTTATCTCTCCATCCCAGTGCTAAGGCCCAGGTTCCCCGCTTTTTCTAATAAACATCATCATCCCAGTGAGCTGCTCTGCTTATGCACAGTGTCATTTTCTGCTCAGTATCACTTCTACCTATGTATACAATTCCAAATCCGCATCTCTGGCCCCATCTATCACTCTTTTCTGTCCCATTTGCTAAAACCCATAACCTACAGTCATATTTGTTCATGTGACCTTTTCCCGGTCTGCACTTGGTCCCAGCACATCAATTATCAATCATGTTAGGGTCCACTTCTGCCTTTCCTGAATGCCCCTATAGACACACCTTCTTCTTTTCTAGTTCTTAGAATCACAATCTGTGTGATAGGTTGAATACTTTGAGCTCATTAACTGTGAAAGATTCTGGAAGGAAGAATATCTAGTACAGTGGCTTTCACACTTTCCTGACTACGAGGCATTACAGGAAATACATTTTACATCACGAATCACACATGCAAACGTACACAGACACGTACCCACCTACTTCTGAAACAGAATCTTCATGAATCATCCGTCACTCTTAACTACATGATATATTCGGATATTTTCAACTCTATTCTATTGTCTATTTTAAAAAAGTTGTGACCAACCCATTAACTCGGTTTCATGAGTCACTCTGGGTCATTACCTATAGTTTGACAAAAGTTGCTTTAGAAAGTAGCTCACGGGGTTGGTGACCTGGAAGTCTAGGTTTAATTCTATTGAAAATGACTACTTTGATTGCTCCCTTAGTTACACTGGACTTTGATGCCAGATACCGTTTGGCCATTGCATTATTTTATAAGTGAGTCAGATTGTGTTTATTTAGTTTGTGGTTTTACTACAGGACAGACGTAAGTAGAAAAATTTTTTTTCTTAAATCTTAACAAACCAGCAACTAGGATCCAATTTGTAATATTTGCCACAATGGCTTTGCGTGATCAGACAGGCAGGTAGAGATCATGATAGTCTCCCTCCTCCCCCTCATTTAAAGAAAACAATATCCTCCCAAAAGAAGGAAAGGAGAAAAAGTGCTACCTGAACAAAAGCCTTTGTCCTGGCTCCTTCCTGATAATGTTTAGTTTGTAGTAGTGGCGCAGGGCTCTGGACATTTTCTCATAGGTCATGTTTGTTCTGTTCTGTTTGTTTGAAGGAGAAAGAGAGAAAAAAGCACAAAGACACAATGAAATGAACCTTAGAAAAGGCACTGGGGCAGCTATTAAAATAAAAACTCTTCAGGTGCCTCATGTGGCCCTCCCAATGTGGAGATTCTACCTGCTTATCCGCTGCCTGTCTGGACCCCTTCATTCCCACCCTTTTGCTTTTACACGCACCAGGGCTGAGGAGTCTGCCTAAGGTGGAACTCCCATTGTGGGAGCCGTAGCTAATACAGCTCATCCCACGGCAGATGCCCTGATTTCCCAAGACTGTGCTCTGTTGTGCCCGAGCCATTTCCTGCAGGTTCCCCTCCATCTGTGGGACACCCTTCATCTTCTGACCTGTACAGAATTTCCTTTTTTGTTCCAGTGACTTTTCTCAAACTTGTTTCTGGTCTGTCATTTTGTTTTTTAATCATTTAGACTCCTCTTGTGGCAGCAGGAATGCAGCGGGGTTGAGCCCTGGGCTATGGCTTGATGTGGGAGTTGCAGAGATTTCTCAGTTACTCACACTGAAGTGGCTATCACAGGGGCCTGGCCATATTTGGTCAAGGCCTGTATCGAGTCCTTCTCATCCAGCTCAGAGCATGGGCTGCTGTCTTAGGAGGCTAGAGGCCCTAGCAGAGCTGGGCTGAGTTCCGTGCTCTCTCCCAATGTGGCTCCAGATCTGCCTGCTCATCTGTCGTCTGGCCTGGATCAAGATCATCCACTTTTTACATGCACACATTTGAACAGTCTACCTTACCAGAGAAGACTTTATGTTTTAAACTCTATTTCCTCATCCTAGTTTGGGAAACTGGCGGAGAGGGGGGGCAATCAAAATTCTTATACTTTGTGCTTGTAAAGGGGATGTTTTCTAGTCATAACATAAGTATTTTCCATGTAGAAATGGGTTTTTGTGAACATGGGAGTTTCCAACTGAGCAGGACAGAAGTGACAACTTCCCAAAGGTTCCTGTGAGTCATAGAGGTCACAGTACTTCTCTGTAACCCAGGTCCTAATGACAGTGGGGTGGCCGGACTAGGCGGAGGGCAGTGGCACTTATGACGCAGCTTGTCAGGCTGAGAGGTGCCGAGTTAATGGACACCTGGCAGAAGTAACACGTGGGAAGTGGCGTCTTTAACTGTCTGTCCAGTGAGGACAAACTACGTAATTATGGGCAGACTTGGGAAGTAGAACCCTGACCCTTTGCTCCAAGGACAGAGACTGCATTTTGGCACTGGTTTACAGAACAAGTATCCAATGCCCTTTTACCTTATGGTTTCCCCACAGCCGAGCCAGTCCATTGGGATCCACTATCCGGAAAATTTTGGATTCCTTGTCCTCCCATCGGATGAAGTTTTCGTACCGGCTGTCAGAAAGCAACTGATAGACGTAATCCCAAAGCAGTCTACAGTCTACAGGAGAAAAGGGAGGAAACACAATGTTGAAAATACTTCTGGTTGAGGCACTAACAGCAAGAGTCGCAGACGCACCCACTAACTGTTCTTGCTTCATTTGAACGGATGGTCTAACTCCTTCGTTTTATACGAAGGAAACAAAGGTCTGCGGAGAGCTGGTGAAATGCTGGAGTATGTGACTTTTGACCTGAGTGGGTTTAGAAAATGTCCAGGCTGGCTGCTTCCCTCTACAGATGAGGACACAGTGACTCAGAAAGAGGAAAAGGCTTGTCCATGGTCGTGACTGACACTAGAACAGAGTCCCTCTGAAAGACCGGAGCAATGCTCTACCTGTGCATGACTTGGCTTTCACAGTGATCTGCAAAAATAAGGGGAGGATAAAGGATGCAAAGAAACTCTCAAAGTACCAGAGATTGGTGAACTAAAAATACTGGAGCTAAAAGGCTCTCTTGGTACTGGCAGGGGGTACTGGATGGATGGAGAGGAGAGGACCAGGGAAGGCTGAAACATGAAGAATGAGTAAAAACCAGTGGGAAAAGAAAAACTATGTGGCTTAGTGACGCGGACTGTGGGAACTGTGGCTAGCATGGTTTTAGGAATAAATACCGATATTCTCATTATAGCATAACTTGGAAGGTTTTACAATTGTTTTATTATAATGGAATCAGAGTAGAAAGGAACCAGGTCCAAAAAATAACTTTCTCCATTTGCAGAAATGATGTTTGATTACGTGGTCAGGCAGCAAATATTTATTAAGTGATTTGGCATGGCCCTGGTACCGTGCTAAACCTAGGTTTTGGCTGTGGATTGGTATATTAAAGGAGAAGACATAGCCGGGTGTAGTGGTGCACATCTGTAATCCCAGAACTCAGGGGTGTGAGGCCGCCCAGGCTACATAATTGAGTTCAAGGCCAACCTGGGTGACATAGTGAGATCCTGTCATAAGCAACCAACTAACATGTGATGTACACGTTCCCATTCCCCTTGTTCTACTGCTTTGTGGATTTCATGTATTCTGCTTCTAGAAGAGCCTTGGTAGATAGGCAGGTGGAGACAGACATATATGAGGGGTAATCGAAAAATACAGTGAATGTTTAAAAAACTTACGTAAGACATATGCTCAAAGCACGAGTATTTTGCAGGGGATTAATGGCAATGTGTCTTTTACTGTAATAACTTTTAAAAAATCCAAACATTAATCCTACAACTAAATGCTCCTCGGTTTAGCTGCTATTGGATTGGCCTCCAGATGGGAACAGGAGGCGCCATTTCTAGCTGTTCACTGTGTGATTCTAGGAGCGCCTGTTCTGGGTAGGTGCTCGCCAAAATGCCAGCATGGTTGACTGATCACTAAGTGTGGGCTTGACAGTGTACGTGTATTTTTGCAGTCCTCAGAGAGGTAACAAGAACTCGCCTGAGGTCCCTGGGACTTGAACTCTAGGCTTCTGTACTACAATGTGCTGTCTCTAACGGTGGGTAAGGTATGGGCTTGGTGCTCTTGGGAAGGGAATTACCAGCTGGAACTGGAATGTTTTTTAGCCAATAGGTTCACATTCCAAAGAAAGTACACCATTCTTTGGAGTATATTCACAAGGACAATTCTGTCAGACAACTTTGGGCAAGTTGCTTAATCTCCCCGCGAGTCTATGTCTTCATTTATGAAATAAGAATTGCAATAGTTACTTTACAGGATTATTCTGCTGGTGCTAATGCAAATGAAAAGAAAGTAATAAAAATATTAATGGCATTTACTGGGTGACACTTGCAGCACTTCACCACTATGCATGGTTACACTTGTTATACCCCTTAGGAGGCAGAGGCTGTTGCTATTTCTATTTAACAGACCAGGCAGCTGGAGTAAGAAGGTTTGGTAACACAGTCACTGCAGGGCAGAGCTGTGACGCATATTGGATTCTGGGCTCTATGTGACTCCAAAGCTTATGCTACACCATACTCCCCAGTGTGATTTCTACTCTCAGATAAATTGGTCAATGGGAATATATCTGTAAAATCTTAGCACTTCTTAGAGCAAAGTTGGAGTTTGCTTAGTGCACCCTTTCCAGTGTTCTCTCTGGCAGAAGGAACTGGCAGAGAATACAGCATTTTGCAGGAAGCTTAATTCTTTAAGGAACTATAAAGTTACAGTGACTCTAAATCTTTAGCGTTATTTTGGTGTTTTTTTCTTTGGTGTGTTATCTGTGTCTAAAAATTAATATGATGAGGGATTTGTTGCATTTTGGAAAAAAAGACAAATGATATCCTTCTTAAAACAGTGACACTCTAGCCCTGCAGTTTGAATCTCTTTAGAAACTGGCCTGCCACTTTCGTTACTTTCCTAAGGCACTATCTTTATTGCCAGAAGGTGGGCTGTGGTGGAGGGAGAGAGCAGAGTTCCAACCTGAGCACCATAAAGTACCGTGAGAAGCCAGTGTTACACAACTACAGGCAGAATATTCTAGCTCATGCTTAAGGCACTTGGAAGAGTCTGACCCTGGTTTCTAGGTAAAGCAGAGTAGGTAAAGTGTCCTATGCCAAGAAGCTACCTCCTTATTCTGTATCACTTTCATTACAAACTGAAAATAGAGAACTGCTACGCTCTGAATGTTACGCTTCCCACCTGAAATCCTAACCTCCAAGTGACAGCCCAGCCTTTGGGAGGTGACTGGGTCTTGGAGGCTCCACTCACAAGAGTGGGCACAGTGCCTTTTTAGAAGAGTCTCAAGAGATCCCTCACCCTTGCATCATGTGAGAAGACAGCAAGAAGGTGCCATCTGTGAACCAGAAAGTGGGCCCTCATCAGACAGTGAATCTACAGAACTCTGAGAAATCTACAGAACTCTATAGAACTCTGTTGTTTATAATTTACCCAGTTTATGCTATTTTGTTATAGCAGCTTGAGCAGACTAAGAACTAAGCTGTGCATTTAACTTTGGGTCCATTAAATGGCACTTTGGGTCCATTAAATGGCAAATACACTTTAATTTTTCATAATCTCTCCCAGCTGGAAAATCTGACAAACCAAATGTAATCATATAGTAAACTGGGAAGAATAAAAATGGGTTACATACAACCCCTCATCTGTCTCCCTGTAATTCACTGCAGAGAGGCTGAGGACACCTTTGGATTCCTTTGAGATGGGAATGGGGTTCTCTAATGTGCACATAATAAACTTTATTTAACATAAACTATCTTGAGGCCTACTATATGAACTGAAAGCAGACATCCCCAAATGCAGAGGTTTCACTCCCCTGTTCCTTATCTCTCTTTTACTGTCACAGTATATTCTATTTCTCAAAAAACAGTTGAAATGCCAACCAGACAATTTTTCCAAGTGAAGGCTCACTCGGCACTGAGGTACCATGGTGGTTCCCTAGAGGCACAGAACTGGGATCTAGAGTATCTTTGGATTTCAAATGAAGGGCAGAGCTTAACAGAAAACAGACTTTACCTACCATCTTCAAGAACATTTGTATCTTGTGAACTTTTTCCTTTCATAAATTTGAAAATAACCCCAGACTAGCTTCCGACTTATCACTTTAAATGACATTTAATCTAGCAAACTCAGTGTTCGCTGAGTAATAAAAAAAATATGTTGACATTCAAGACATTGAATTCCTCAGTCATTAATGGAGGTAGCAACAGTGTGTGACATAAAGAAGTTGTTTCAAACTCAGAGTGTAAGTGAACTGTAACACTGTCGATTGCTTTCTTTGGTTAAAAAGTTGATAAAAATAACTTCTTGACCATAATACCATCCCCCACCTTTTAACAACTGAAATTCAATCCATGAATCATGTTTGTTTTTAAGATTTCTATTACATAAAAGGTACATCCTCCTTCATTCCCTGGATCTTCTGGAGGCTATAATCAGAGTCTATCTAGAATCTTCCATGTTTGTCAAAACCCACGTTTGCATTGAAGTGATTTTTTTGATCAGCAATGAAAATGCTTACTACTATGTAATAAAAACATACCAAATTCTACAAACAAAAGTCCATCCCACCACAAGTGAATATGCTTGTATAAAAATTTTTATATCCAAAGGCATTTGTTAATTTAATATGTGTTTCTCTTAAACTAAAGGGCCTTCTTCTATAGCAAGACATATGGGTATTTTAAAGAAATTGTCCATTACTTGGATCGTCTCTTCTATGAGAGGAAGTTTATGGAAGGATTTAGCTAGAATAAAATGCCACTTTCCCACTGTAGAAAGAGAGTTCTCTCTGCTTCCTGCTGGGTGAGGTACCCTGGGCATCCGCTGCTAAAAGGCATTGTAAAAAATCCCTTCCTGTGGTTAAGGAGAAATATTTTTACTCCCACATCTGTCTCCTACCAGAGACTCATTGTATAAACTTATTGAGGAGAGATTGTAAAAAGATGGGCAATTCACACATAACCAACATGATTTCTAAAGAAAAAAAACATGCTAGACAAAACTGATATTTAAAAATTTTGAGTAGGCAAGTCAAGTTTCTGGACAAAGGGAATGTATAATCATGGTGGCTAATTTAACCTTCAGGAAAGTTTCCAAGTAATTTTATATTGTTTTAAAGCCCAAGTGAAAATTTTAAATGAACGTTTATAAACCATAATATCATATATAGAATCACTCAACAGGGAGGGATGCTAAGGACCTCTATTTAATTTTTAAAAACTCAAGAAACTGATGAACTTATTTCAAATTCAGCAACAAAACAGGTAACACACAAAACAAAAAGTTATGACTGTGCTTTGAAGCAGCGGCTCTAATCTGGGGTGATTTTGTATGGCGATGTTTCTGTCATAACTGGGACCTAGAGTGCTTCGGGCATCTAGTGGAAGGGGCCAGGGCTGGTGCTAAATAGCTTATAGTGCACAGAATAAGCCCCACAACTGAGAATTAGTGTTCAGCCCAAAGAGCAAGAATGCCGAGGTGGAGAAACTGCCCATGGAAACATGGGTTTATAAGATGCAGGGGGCAAATGCCACTCAGTCACTTTTTTCCCCCTCTTCCATTC